CAGCCATCATTGTTGTTTGGCGGGCCCGGGCAGGGGATTCGAACCCGCCACCTTAGGTGTATGTGGCTGGCGCCTTAGCCGATTGAGCCACAGGCGCCGAGCTGTGGTTCCATATTCTTGCTCCAAACACCTAGACAGGAAGAGGACTCTGTAGCCAGAGGCAGGGGGATGGATGATATAACTTCTAAATGGTTCTGCCAACCCAGATCTGATCCAACATTTCTTTTTGACTCCCCTGGTCACCTAGGGATTTGCCAAATAGAAGGAAGTTTGGCAAAGAAAAGTGGCCCGAAGAAGCTGGCTGTATGGGATGCCCATGACAGGGTCTGCCTGCCAGTGCTCCACCAGGACCTCAGATAGAGGCCCACCCCTCTCCTGCCCTCTGTCCACAGGTTCTTGCCTCAGAGTTGTGGGCAGGTACCTCTCCTCTTCCAGAGGCTCCCACACCCATCTTTACTGACTTCCATCCCCTCTGCCCTTATTCCCCTACCCCAGAGAAGCGAAAGGCCATGAACAGACATGAGGGAGAGGGTCACACTGTCCCCATGCAGAAGATAGGAGGCTCAGGTCTCACTTACCTGGCAGAAATGTTGCTGTAGTGCATGTAAGCTGCGATGACTACTCCTGTTCTGCCTCGGTTTCCCTGAAAAAGCCCCAAACACAAAAGGCTTCATTGCTAATGCAGTAGCCCCAGAGCCCACCCAGAAGCCTTAGAGGAAAGGGGACAGGGGCCAGAGCCAGAACTATGGCTCTATGGGAGAACAGAAGGAGAAAGAGTGTGGCGGGGGGAGTGTCATCACAGCTAGGGACATAGCTGGTCTCCTCCTCTCATGTGTTGAGGATTCCCTCAGGAATAGAATCTGTTAAGACCCGGAAAGGAGACTGCACACTTGCACGGCCCAAAGATACAGGCAGGTCTACACACTCATCTAAAGATATGCCCAGGCATGTGCACACATATGCACACATACCCACGGCACCCCTCTCTGACCTTATTATGCAGAACGACGACATTGTGAGGGTCTGCGTTGAGCCACGTGTCCATGGCCTTGCAGATGCTGCAGATTTTCTCCAGGGCAGGAGTGTGTAGGTCAGGCCAGCCAAACTCCAGTACCTGTGGCCCAAGACTTGAGTGAGAAGGAAGAAGCCCTGGGGAGCCAGCCAGGCTGGCAGAGGCAGTGTACACCAAGTGTTGGTGCCCAGCCGACCACCAGTCACTGGTTCCTGCTGGGCCTAGGGTCATCTCTGCCCATCAGTCACCCAGAAGACAGGATTTTCGAGGGCAAAGGCCCCTAGCTCAGGGCTGGAATGACGGTACATGAAACAAGTCATGTACCTTCTTCCAGGCTCAGTTTCCTCACATGTGTGTAAAACAGAGGCCTGGAGCTGATGACCCCATGGACCCTATCATATACTCTGATCTCAAAATGTGCCGAGGGCCATGAAAGGAGAGGGAGAAGCAGAGGGTCTCTGACATTCATGGCCCTTTTCCAGGCCCTAGACATACAAACCACCCATTTCTTAGGCCAGCCAAGAAAAATCTGAAGGTCACACAGGGCAGCTCTGAAGAGTGGTCTTCAGGCTTCTCAAAACCCTTCTAATCTCACAGAACTTAAAAAAAAGAGAACTGTTCCTTGGAAAAGCCCAGAGTGCACCTAATCCAGCTGGTTCCCTTTCAGAGGCACAAACTGAAGCTCAGAGAAGTCTGCTGCCTAACCAGGGTCACCCAGCAACAGACCCTCAAAAGCAGGGCCAGAAGTAGATGTCCATGGCAAAGCCCTACACACAACCCACAGCACAAATGGGACATGGCAGCATTTTAAATCCAAAAACTTAAAACCTCACAACTCCTGCCTCACTCCAGAGATCCCCTGTGCTCCCCAGGGAGGGCAGACCTGGGTAGAAAATCATGACCACAAGCTTTGCTTTCTATAATTTGCATTATAGAAACAATAAAATACATTATTTTCCATTTCTCAAATATAAGATGTCACTCTAACTTTGAACAGGCTTTTCAAACTACAATAGCACTTTCCTCCTGGGATCCAAATGTGGCATCTGTGGGGGAGGGAGTCTGTCAGTTCTCCTTCTCTTCCAGGAGGACAGAAACCCCTACCCCAAAATAGCCATTGGCTCACCTTGGCATGGAGCTTTGTGATGTCAGGTCTCCGCTCTGAGAGGTTGAATAGCTAGAATGAAAAAAAGGAAGAGATGATGAATGGGTGCGAGTGAAGAGAGCAGGGAGGGGAGAGAGAGCCACAGCCACACAGGGGACAGTGGTGTCTCTCCAACTTCCTCAAAAGAGCCCACTGTACCACCAGGCAGGGCATCAGTGTTCCATAGGCCAGCCACAAGCTCCCTGGACCTCCTTGCTCTCTCTCACCCTCTGCCCAATGGGAATTCCATCCACATGTGAACGTGCAATGGAGTCCCCATCAAACACACTAGACCACCAGGAATTCAACAGCACGTTCATAGGAAGAAGAGGGAGAGGGTGAGATTGGCAGACACTCATCCCCTCCCTCCATGAGTGGATATCCCAAACCAATAACAAGAAGGAATGCAACCTGTCTCAGGCCCCTTATGCCTCTCACCACGTGAGTAGAGATCCAGTGATGTGAAATGATAAGTACTTGGCCATCTCTGGTTTTCACTTCACACGTTGACATCAGAATCTCATCCCATGAAGATGCAACTTCTCTGTTACCTCCCATCAGAGGCTGCCAACTCAGCCGGCTCAGACCCCTAACACGCCTCTCCCATGGAATGCCCCCCACACCCATATCCAGGATTCCTGCCTCCACCTCTAAAGGAGAGTGTAGAACTCCCCTCCTCCACCCAACCACCTGGGAAACTCAAAGACCACCCTGTTGTCTCCCAGAGAAAAAGGACAGCCCAGTTTGGATGGGATGGCAAGAGAAGTGGCAGAGAGCACAGAGACCCACAGAATCCTGGACTCCTGAAATCAGGAAATGTCCCCACATGCCTGCTAATCCACTCTCAATTATATTAACAATGGCTACCCACCCCTCAGTGAGTGTCCTTGGCCTGCCAGCACCTGTGCTAAGGACTTTGCATTTAACAGCTGGTTTAATTCTCTCAACAACTATATGAAGTCAATAATAGACCCATTTTACAGATGGGAGCCTAAGGTTTACTGAGGCTAAGAGGCCAGCATCATGGACTAAGAGCAGAGCCAGAATTTGAACCCAAGACTTTTTGATATTTAAAGCTAGGTCTTAACAATGCCCCAACCCAGCTGACAGATGGGTCTCTATAGTGACTAAAAAGTCTTCCCCAAAATTCATGTCCACCCAGAATGTGACCTTATTTGGAAACAGTGCTTTTGCTAGCGTAAGTACTTAAGAATCTCAATATGAGATCAACCTGGATCCTAAATCCAGTTACTGATTTCTTTGTAAGAAAGGAGACTACTAGACCCAGAGGAGAAGGCCATGTGCAGATGCAGGCAGAGACTGGCTGGTACAGCTACAAAGCAAGGGACTCCAAGGACTGCCAGGAGCCACCGAGGCAAGGAAGGAGTCTCCCGTGCAGGATTCAGAGTGGCCCTGAGGCATGGACCTACCAACACTTTGACTTGAGACTGCTACCATCCAGAACTGTGAGAGAATAAATTTCTGTTATTTTGAGTCACCACGTTTAAGGTACAGTTGTCCCTCAGTTATCTGTGGGGGATTTAGTCCCAGGACCCTCTAAAGATACTGATCTATGGATGTTCAAGTCCCTTATATAGAATGTCATATCATTTTGTGTAGTATTAGGAGTGCCCAAAAAATGTATACATATTTTAAGCAATCTTGTTGGAAGTAAAACTGATCATTCCCCGAAAGTGTACAAATTTCAGGTAACATGGATGTGTGTAGGGTATCTAGGTACACTTGGCCAGTAACAGTACCTTCAATTCAACTTCAAAAAGTAATGCATAGAGAACATCTCTTAAAACATTTAAACATTTTTTTGGCACCCAGTGGCACAGTGGCCATGGCATCGTTCACATACACCGAGGCTGGAGGGTTCGAACTTGGCTAGGGCCAGGTAAACAATGATAACTGCAACAACAACAACAAAAAAAATAGCCAAGCATTGTGGTGGGCACCTGTGGTCTCAGCTACTTAGGAGGCTGAGGCAAGAGAATCACTTAAGTCCAAGAGTTTGAGGTTGCTGTGAGCTATGACACTATAGCACTCTACCAAGGGAGACACAGTGAGATTCTGTCTCAAAAAATAATAATAATAATAACATTGAAACATTTTTTGGCACTCTCCATGTACGACCTATGCACATATTACAGTATACTTTAAATCATCCCTTGGTTACTTATAACACCTTATACAATATAAATGCTATATGAATAATGTTGCTCTATATTGTGGTTCTGGACACCATATTTTATTGTTGCGTTGTTTATTGTTCTTTTTCTTTTATTTATTTATTTATTTTATTTTGGTTTTTTTTTTTTTTATTGTTCTTCTTCTTCTGTATATTTTCAACCTGTGCTCGATTGAATCCATGGATGAGAAAACCACAGATACAGAGGGCTGACTATTGGCACAGCAGCCCTAAGTATTAATACCTAATGCAGCCCCCTCCCTCCCACCTCAAACGCCTTGAGGGCAGCCACTTGAGGTTCCAAAGATCTGCTTTGTGGTTCAGTCCACTTGTCCCTCCCTGCAAAAGGGACCTAAGCTCTCCTCTGGGGCCAAGGGTAGGTCAGCCTTTCCACATTAGAAGAGACCCCTGCAGGCTCCTCTCCCACATATGTTAGATGATTCCTTTGGGCCAGGCTGAGCCAGGCACTAGTGACACAAGTTCCCTCAAAACTCATGTTGAAATATTTGGGAGTTTACCTAACAAAGGACGTGAAAGATCTCTATAAAGAGAACTAGAAACTCTAAGAAAAGAAATAGCTGAAGATGTTAACAAATGGAAAAACATACCATGCTCATGGCTGGGAAGAATTAACATTGTTAAAATGTCCATATTACCCAAAGCAATATACAATTTTAATGCAATCTCTATTAAAGCTCCACTGTCATACTTTAAAGATCTCGAAAAAAATAATACTTTGTTTTATATGGAATCAGAAAAAAACCTCAAATAGCAAAGACATCACTCAGAAATAAAAACAAAGCAGGAGGAATTACGCTACCAGACCTCAGACTATACTATAAATCAATAATGATCAAAACAGCATGGTACTAGCACAAAAACAGAGAGGTAGATATATGGAACAGAATAGAGAACCAAGAGATGAACCCAGCTACTTACCATTATTTGATCTTTGACAAGCCAATTAAAAATATTCAGTGGGGAAAAGATTCCCTATTTAACAAATGTTGTTGGGTGAACTGGCTGACAACCTGTAGAAGACTGAAGCTGGACCCACACCTTTTACCATTAAGATAGACTCTCACTGGATTAAAGATTTAAACTTATGACATGAAACTATAAAAATACTAGAAGAAAATGCAGGGAAAACTCTTGAAGAAATCGGCATGGGTGAATATTTTATGAGAAGGACCCCCCGGGCAATTGAAGCAACATCAAAAATACACTACTGGGACCTGATCAAACTAAAAAGCTTCTGCACAGCCAAGAACACAGTAAATAAAGCAAGCAGACAGCCCTCAGAATGGGAGAAGATATTTGCAGGTTAGAATCCACAGAGAACTCAAACATATTAGTAAGAAAAGAACAAGTGATCCCATCTCAGGGTGGGCAAGGGACTTGAAGAGAAACTTCTCTGAAGAAGACAGGCGCATGGCCTACAGACATATGAAAAAATGCTCATCATCCTTAATCATCAGAGAAATGCAAATCAAAACTACTTTGAGATATCATCTAACTCCAGTAAGATTAGCCCACATCACAAAATCCCAAAACTAGAGATGTTGGCATGGATGTGGAGAAAAGGGAACACTTCTACACTGCTGGTAGGAATGCAAACTAATACGTTCCTTTTGGAAAGATGTTTGGAGAACAGTTAGAGATCTAAAAATAGACCTGCCGTTCGACCCTATAATTCCTCTACTAGGTATATATCCAGAAGACCAAAAATCACATTATAACAAAGATATATGTATCAGAATGTTTATTGCAGCCCAATTCATAATTGCTAAGTCATGGAAGAAGCCCAAGTGCCCATCAACCCAGGAATGGATCAATAAATTGTGGTATATGTACACCATGGAATATTATGCAGCCTTAAAGAACGATGGAAACTACCTCTTACATGTTTACATGGATGGAGCTGGAACACATTCTTCATAGCAAAGTATCTCAAGAATAGAAGAAAAAGTATCCAATGTACTCAGTCTTACTATGAAACCAATTTATAGCTTTCTTATGAAAGCTATAATCCAATTATAGCCCAAGAAGAAGGGGAAAGGGGAGAGGGAGGGGAGGGGAGGAGGGAAGATGGAGGGAGGGAGAGTAGTTGGTGTGACCACACCTACTATGCATCTTACAAGGGTACATGTGAAATTTACTAGGTGCAGAATATAAATATCTTAACACAATAACTAAGAAAATGCTGTGAAGGCTATGTTGACCAGTTTGATGACAGTATTTCAAATTGTATGTAAAACCAGCACATTGTACCCCATGACTGCATTAATGTACACAGCTATGATTTAATTTAAAAAAAAAAAAACACATGTTGCCATGCCTCTGCCCTTAGACTCCTCAGAGGTTCCAACACTGCACCAGCTTTGTCACTTCCTGACCCTGTGACGCTGGGCAAATAACCCCACCCATCTGTGCTCTAGCAAGTCCTGCTTTTAGGGCTGCACTGAAGGTGAAATATGCAGAAAGCAGTTAGCACAGTGCCTGCCTCATAGCAAGGGCTCCATCACCTGGGCTCTTGTGGTTACTCCCTTCTCCTGGTCAACACACAGAGTTCCAGAAGCTGCACTAAACATCCCAGCTACAGGCACTCATTAGAACAGAACTGGGCTGCAGAGTGGGTGAAGACTCAGGCCATAGAGGATGTGCAGGGTAAAGGGCAAGTGAGCACAGGAACAAGGATGAGCAGGCGCAGGGGCAGGTGACAAGGATGCCTGCAGTGAAGAGGTGGTAAGCAGGCACAGAGGGAGGGGCAGAGGGAACTGCACAAATGGCTGAGGCCCCATCCTCACCAAGTAGTTGCCTCCATGTTTAGACTTGAGCATCTGGGCCACCTCACGGAGGTTGCTCCGGAAGTTCTCCTCATTGGCTGTACTGGGGAAGGAGACTGCGATGATTCTCTCTGTAACGTACACCAGGTCCAGCTCACAGCTGTCCTCCATGGTCCGGCTCACACTCATGTTTCTGGGGAAATAGCAGGCAGTGGAGGGTCCAGATCAGAATCTAGCACCCTAGTGCAGACCCTACACACAGTAGGGCCACCCAGGGCCAAGGCCAGAGGCTCTGCCTGGCAAGGCTAGTGCAGCCAGCCTGGGAGCTCCAGTGAAAACAAGTTAGGCAGGAGCTGGCAAAGACCTCAGAATACTTCAGAATCAAACCATGACAACAACACCAGTGATGAGTTCCTGTCAGTTGTATGGGCACCATCTTCAACCCGTGATTCCAAGGCCAGACTGGCCAGGAACCCAGAAGCCCAGCCCTTCCTCCCACCCACCACAGCCACCTGCCAGGCAGAAATCTCCCAAAGGAATCTGGACTGCTCCAAAAGAGGAAAGAGAGCTCGCCTGGGTACTCTCCAGCACCCTGGAGCTGAGCCTTCCCCTGCTCTCAAGGCATGGAATGGGCGGGAGGCCCCTCACAGGAAGGGGGCAGCTCAGGTGACATGCTCACCTAGGTTCCAGGTAAGCCAGACCACAGCACGCATTCCAGCCCTCCCAAGGCAGGCTGACTCCTGCCCTTTGTTCCCCGGCTTTCTCCCCACCTCTGGCTCACGCCACCTGGCAGAGCTGCTTTTTGGCATTGGCATCCCTGATTTCTAGGGGCTCAGGGAACCTGAGGGCACCAAGTCTTTGCTGTTGCTGCAGTGGCAGGCAGCCCTCAGCACCACCTCTGTCCTGGGAGAGGTGGGAAGCCCCTGGGCTACACAGTCTGAATTTGACTCTGAGCCCAGTCATCCTTCATCCCTATGGTAAGCTTCTTGCTACAGCCATTGGGGTGCAGTTCCCACCTCGGGCCGCTGCCTACCCAGGACAGTGCTCAGTCTGGAACAAGAAGCCACACACACATACCCCACAAAGATAGATGTAAAGGGAACCTCAGTTAACTTGGAGCATCCCTTCCTCCCCCACTCCAAAGCCCCTCTTGGTCCTGGCTCCAAAAAAAACAACAGAGTATCAGAAAAACTGGCAAGCTGAGCTCCTGTGGTTCCAGCCTCTCACTCAGCACGGGTACAAAAGGGGACATGGTGAGGAGCATGAGTCAGACGTGGCCTGCCCTGTCCTCAGGTTGAGTCCCAAGAAGGATGCAAAGGCAGAATTGCGCCACCATCTGGACAGCCTCAGCATTGCACCCTATGCCCACCTGCTCCCAGGCTGCTCTCAGCTGTGGGGAAGGAGGTCCTCTAAAAGCCACCTCTAGACTGTGGGCAGCTGGCCATGAGCCACTAGAGCTACACCCCAGGGCTGGCATTCCTGCTGGAGTCAGGAGGCTCAGAGGTGAAAGTGAGTCTGACATGGAGGGAGCAAAACAGACCCCGGATCAGCAAGGCTCATATGAAGTTCCCTGCATATCCCCATCCCCTGCCCTGCCACCCCAACCAGATAGAGAACTTTCCTTTTATAAATGACTCTGAGCCATCAGAAACCCCTGTCTAGAGAGGAATGAGACCTGCCACAGGCCCTGGTGCCCACCAGTCCTGGACGAAAATCCAAGGCTGCCTCTTGGCGGTTGTGTGCCCTTTCACAAGTCACCTAATTTCTCTAAAATTCAGTTACTTCATCTGCCAAATGGGAATAAAACACTTCCTTTGTAGGGCTGGTACAATGACTATAATACAGATAAATAAAGGATCCAGCTCAAGGCCTGACCTGGAGCTCAAAACATGACCTCTGTCCAGTGCCATCCCTGTCGCCTCTCCTGTGCCTTTCATGGTCACCCACATTCCCTGCCCATGGCTTTACAGCTTTGGTCTGGAGAATCCAGAGGCCAAACTTGACAAGAACACCCACAGCAGCCCCACCACCTGTACCTCCACCCTCTGCACCACAGACCAGGCCTACCTGATGGGCTGGAGATGGGGCTGGACACTCGGGATGACCCTGGTGGAGCCCTGGGAATGAGAGAGAAGCAGCATCACACAGAGGCAGTCAGGACAGCAGGTGGACAGTGGCAGAGAGCCATCCAGGGGAGCAGTCAGGACCATGGCCAAACACAACTCTCTTCCTTCTCTGCCCTGCAGCCACCTGAAGCCATCAACACTGACTCCACATGAGTGTGCCTGTCTGCCTTAGAGGGACAAAAGGAAGAAATGCCCAATGCTGAGGCATGCACCCCACCTGGCTGGTGCCGTCTGCACTGGGAACATACTGAGCAGCTACAGATTTGATGGAAACCCACTGCATCCTGATTCATTGGCCCATGGCAGTAGTAACCCCAAGTGGAGAACGCAGACTACAACCAGGAAAAAACAATAGATGAGAATGACGGTGACCCTCCATCCAGCCCTGAAGCTGCCTTCCCTGACCACCATCATCCAACATTCCTCTCTTTGAAAGCAGCAACATGGAGTCGTAAATCAGGTTTTGAAATGAGAATAGCCAAATGCAAGAAGCCAAACAAGGTCGCTCCTGGAACCCACTGCTACTGCTACCTGCTCCATTTTCATAGCTGTCGACCTACACAAACAGGCAAATGGATGCGAGTTGGCACCCAAAACATCCCAGGGCAGCAGACCGGTGCAATGGTAAAAGTACAGGGTCAGAGTCCCACAGACCGGAGTCTAGATTCCAGCACCCTGCTGGGCAGGCTTGCCAGTTACACGGCCCCTCTGAGCCTCTCGTAATGTCACACATAAATGGGACAACCCTCAGAGGCTTGTAGTGAGGATGCAAAGGAATTACACATATAAGGCATTTTGTATATACCTGGCATTCAAGAAATGACAGCTGTTGTTTTGTTGTTGCTATGATGTCAAGTACAATTCAAAGGGTATTTACTTAGAGGTTAGTTATAACCAAACATTCACCTCTATGGAAAATCAAAACCCTCCATCAGTTCTTCCACCAGCAGCCGCTCCATCCTTCCAGCCACACTACACGAGGCAGAATCAGGATGCCCAATTTCTAGATCCTCAGGCCCAGCCTGAGCCATCTGAGCCCATCGACACCTTCCAAACACCCATGTGCCTCTCAGAATTGGGCTTTCCCAGCTACTTAGTTGTAGCCGCTTCTTGGAGGAGACAAGACCACAATCTACCAAGGAGGGGAGAAACTGAGACACACAGTAACTCACCCCTGATCCCTGGGAAGCTGATGACTAGGTAGGATTCACACTCCAACCTGGGGCTTGACCACTGGGGCCCCAAGAATAGGACTCCTGTAAGCCTCTCCCAGGTCTGCAGCACCTATGAGGCAGGGTGCATGGGCTCTGAGGCCCAGCTCCCAGCTGAGCCCCAAACTAGGGCAGCTCCCCTAAGAGGACTCTCCATGTAGCTGCTGGGGAGAAGGCTCTGCCCGGTCCTCTCTGTCTGAGCTGCCTCCGTGCTCTGAACAGCTCAGCAGCGGCGTCAGTGGAAGGAGGAAAGAGCCAAGTGGAGCTGTCGGGGCGGGAAGTTTCTCAGTCTCCACAGCTCTTCTGGCCCCCAGGACTTGGGTTTGCATGAGTCAAGGGGGTTGGGGGGGAGGGGAGAGGCCAAGGGGTGGTTGTGTTTGGTTTTCAACCCTAAAACCAGGTTGTTCCAAAACAGCCAACACAGAGGAACGTAGAAAGCTGGCACTTCATCTGTCTTCCTCCTGTGGGTCCCTGATGAAGAGTCCCTGACTCTCCCCAGGCCGTAGGCCCTGCTCCAGGCTCCAGGGCCACCCTGCTATAAATAGCCCCTCGGGTTGCATCTGTTGCTGATCCATAGCCACTTTTGGAGGAAGCCACCACAGCTGCTTCGAACAACTGGAAGTCACAACCGTAGCCAAGGCTCGAGGTGTGGCCGGGAACACGAGGCCAGGCCCAGAGAGCTGGTAGGAGATAATGGGACACATTGAGATGGGCTTGGCAAGGGACTGGGGAGGTGAGGGAGCTGGGAGCCGGTGAGGGTGCAGGGGTAAGAAGGGCAAGCAGGACAGGAGACCTGGCTCCTGTTTCTCTCCTGCCCTGTTCCAAATGTTACAACACTCCACATTCCTCAGCCTCCCCACCCCAGAAAAGCTGGGGAAGATAAATAAAAACTTGGCCCAAACAGAGTCTGGCCAAGCCGCCTCCAGAGGTGATAAGGCAAAGTCCAAGCCCACTCTGCTCTACCGGGCTGGCCTAGGAAGGGGAGGCACAGGGGGAAGCTGCCCCGGACAGTGACCCCACTGCAAAGGCTGGGGGACGAACAGCTGGACTGTCATCCCCTGATGAATCACTGGGCTGCCCTCTAACTGATGGGCTTCCTGTTTTCTGCAGAGTTTGGGGGCATGTGACCCTTGCTGGCAGAGAGCAGACATGCACGGTGACACGTCTGAGTGTTGGTGCACACAGGCCCACGGGGAAAACTCAGAGAACAACCAATGGGCTAGGACAGAGGACAGCATGTGACCAAACACACTCTCATGCTTCTAAAAACACAGGTGACTTCACATACGAGGCTAGAGACTGGAGCCTTTGGAAGCATGCCTACTTACATAGGCTTTTTACAAGTGGGGTGGAAGTTAGTCAGGGAATCTGGTCATCCTTGGGCCTCCAATCTTCGTGCTCATTCCCACATTTGACACACATCCACTGAGTGCCACAAGCTGTGTGCCCAGTCATATTCTAGGCACCAAGGGACAAGTGGGTAAAGCCTCTGACCTCGCAGAGCTTATAGTATTAGACAGGCAATGATACTCACCAACAGAGTATATGAGGAGTACCAGCTCAGTCTCATTTACCCATCTGTAAAATGGGTACAGCACAATGCTCACATGATTTCCTATCCACTTTCCCTAGTTTGCCCCTAGGGAAAACTACTAGAGGACTTCACAAACTGTATTTAAAAAAAAAAAAACTACCAGTAAGCTCTTTGCCTTAATCCCATTATTTTCCTCTCTGGGGAACTCAAGAGGAAAACATGGCTTTGAACTTCCTCCTAGCTCCTCCCAAGACACTTCAATAGTAGAACTTTTAATTCAACACTCTAGACATCAAACAGGACCCTCCCCTATCCTCACCTCCAAAACACAGTCTCTCCATTACTGAAAGAACACCATGAAATAGGATTCCACAGAGAAAGTGTCTTACTTTCTCCCTCTCAGGAAGTTCCCCCTGGTATCTAGCCCTTATCCATCCTGCTGCAGATTCAAACAACTCTTTTTGTCTCACTGCAGGCAGGAGCTGATTATCACTCAGACATTCCTGGGTGTCTCAGGGTCTAGGTTCCATTATTTGCCACCTTCTTCCATGCTGCACCTCCCAGCCTTGGGTGGGGTTGGTTTGGAGCTATGCCTATGTGGAAAGAGTCCTGCCTTCCTTTAAGGTCCACAGACCAAACACAACATCTCTGGACCAAAAGAAAAGCTGTTTCCTGCGACCAAGTCCCCAGGGGAGCACAGTTGGGAGGAGGGTCTGTAAGAGAACACCAGGGGCCGTGTGAGGAGCCAGAGATCGGTGACCGACCTACGTCAGGGGCCCAGCCCCATTCCTACATCTCCTCTGGGGGCTGTGGCCAACCTCCCCCCATACCAACCCCTCCAGCCACACCTCTTCCTCTCTCCTTCCTGCCCACCAGCCTGGATTTTTCCAAAACAAAGTGCGACACAGCACACCATCCACAAACTCCACTACACACCAACTCTGTCAAAGGAAAACAGCCATTCCTGCCCCTGTGAGTCCTGGGCCATGGGCCAGAGACAGGAAAACAGCTCAACAAACAGGCACATTATAGCAGCAGCAGGCCCAGGGCAGCAAAGGACCCAGGGCAGCAGAGGGCTCAGGGCTGCATCTGTGCTGCTTTGAAAAGTCTCTCCTCCTGCCGATCAGCTACAGAAGAGTTCGACAGGGGACTGACCCAGTGACCCTAGGGTTACCCAACCTGAGACAGATGACAAGAGCCTTAACAATTAGATATTCTCTCTACCTTTGCAGTATGGAGGCCATTCTGGAATCTGCTTGCTCTCTTACCTTTCCCAAACTCATCTTGTCCCTCCTACCACATCCAAATAAGACACCACCTTCATCAAGCCAGACATACTCATCCCAGAGCACCAAAACTTTCTTCTAAAAATACCAAATAGCCTCCAGTCACAACCAAACACCTACCTCTTTCTTCCCTAGGACCAAGGTCATTCATAGCCTCTCAGTCAAAAGTTCTTCATGAAGTCTAACTTCACTTTCTCTTGCTGCGGCTCTCGTTTACAGGATCATTCTAGCCCAGGCTAGGGACAGGGCAGGCAGCAGCTCTAAAACTTGACTCCTCGTGTGCTCAGACCATTTGCTAAAAGTCTTGGTTCATATACTTGTCACCCTATCCCCTGCCCAAGCATTAGGAGTCCTAGAAAACACAAGATCCAAGCAGCAATTCCAGGGAAGGATAAAGTGGCACTCATGGAATCATCTGGCAATTCCAAGCTGTTTTCTCATCTATAAAATGGGGTCATAGCATCTGCCATATAGGGGTGCCACAGGACTATGAAAACATCCAGCCCAATTCCTGGCCCTCAGTCAAAATAGCAGTAATAAGAATGGTTAACATTTACTGAACACACATGACATGCCATGAGTGCCCTAAGCTAGTTCACCCTCAGCAATAGGCAACCATAAAAAATTACTTTTCCCTGCACCTCAGCCCCAGAAATATCACAAACCTCGACAAGGACCCCTCCCCGACACACTCTATGCCCATGGGAGCCCTCGCATACCTTGAACAGAGCCTTCCCTGCTAATTTGAGAGGCATGCTCCCTGCTTCTCCTGGAGGGTCCTGCATGGCCCTCAGGATGCCTCCCCTCTGCAGGGCAGGAGTGCAGGGCTGCCCTGGGGCACTGCGGCAGTGGCCGTGGGCTCACCACAGGAGTGAGGCTGCCTGCAGGAGTTGCCCCCTCCTGCTCCCCCCACACCTCCCTCCGGGGCCCTCCCTGCCATGGATCAGGCAGCTGTCAGATGACAGGGCCTCGTGCCCTCCACAGCTCCCCCCGTGCCAACCGCCAAAACCACTCCCTGTTCCTCTGCAGACCAGGGCGGGTGAGGATGGAGGGGCCCGCACAGGGCACACCATCAGAGAGAGCAGGACAGAAGGGGAACCCTGCTTTGCCAAGGGTCTGCCCCTGGAGCTTGCAGAAGAGCCCAGTCACAAACACGGCTCAGTATGGGTCCTAGAAGAGCCCTCTGGACCCTTCTGTGAGGTCCTTCCTTTTAAGAAATGTGCCCACTTATCCCCCTCCTCCAGTGCAAGGTAGGGGCGACCTGGGGGACTGACTAGCCCACATCTTAGCTTTCTCCTGAACCAATGGCATTTAAGCCACACAGAGGCATTTGCCATTTTCAAAGACGCCTGTCTCCAAAGAAGCATACTCTACAATCTCCCCAAGGTCTGATGACATCTAAGAGACCAAAGGTCTATCTCCAGCTCAGCCCTCAGTCCCTCTCCCTGTGTTTTTTACCACTTCCCTTACCCTTTCTGTGGATGCTTCTAGCATGCCCTCTCTCCTCCATCTCCACCCTGGGGCACAGAGGTCCAGCAAAGTCATGGCCAAATAAGCTCTGGATTCAGCTTAGATGGAGGCCAAAGCCAAGACTGAGGGCCCCGCTTGTAAGCAAATGGACCTGCTTGTAATATCAACTTTGCACACTAAGTAACCCCTTCTGAGCCCTCTAGAGAAGGGTAAGGGAGGCCCACAAAACAGGACAGGTCTGAGACACTACCCACCTCTCACCCACTCCCCACAGCCGCCAGGGTCCCAGCCACAACCTTCTCCTGTGACCTTCCCACACTTACGTCGTCCTCGAGGCTTTTCCGTGTGTTTCCGCCCCGGGAGGATCCTTCTCCCTAAATAGACAGGGAAAAGGCAGTCAGAGAAGGGAGTCTAGGAAAATAATCACAGGACACCCAGACCTTCCACCTGCTGCGTTTGTCAGCAAATAGAGGGGTACACATGAGAGGGAAGGGTGAGAAGCTGGCAGAAAGGCCTGGGAGCGAATTTTGGGTTCTGTTTAACATTTCTTTGTCCGCTAAAGGCCCCTCAGAGCTAGCCAAACCCTCCCCATTTGCGTCTCACAACCATTCCTGTGGGAGATACTATTACCCCCATTTTGCAGATAAGAAAACAGACAGACTCATACAGTCACACAGTTAGAAACTTGGTGGAGTCAGGATTTTAACCCAAGTCCTCCAACTCCGGGCCTGTGATTCCATGCTGGTGGTTGCCAGGAGACAGCTGTCAGCAGCTAACCTCAGTTTCCCCATTAAAGAACTCACCTACTTTCCTCCCTTCCTCTTTCAAGCAGCCTTGAGAAAACCATCTGTCTCTCTGCTAAGTCAGAAAGATGTTTGGAAAGAGCTGTCCAGCTTCCTCACATTCTACATATTTAATAAAGAAGCTTCATTGAACCTCCAGCCTCTCTGCCTGCCTAGCTCCCCAGTGGCTCATCTCTGAACACACAGGGATGGTCAGATGCCTGGCTCCCAGTGTCACTAGCATCCCCCCGCTAAGGTCACCAAATCTACTCCAAAAAGATGTCCCCAACCACAGAGGCCCATTCTCCCCCAAATCTACCCTCCACTTTCCATTCGCCTCCTTTGCCCAGGCTGCTCCAGCCCTGCCCCCAGCTGGCACTCACCGTGTCCACTACATTCTTTGGCGCACTCTCAGTGGTGATAGGCTGTGGACAAAGGGAGAAACGGTGTGAACCTCAGGGCAGAAAGTGCCGGGATTAGCTTTCTCCCCACGGCTGGTGGAAGGTGATGCCAACCCAAGACTAAGATACAACCCAGCTGGCTCCTCATGAGGAACAGTATTTAGAAATGAAAAACAGTCTTAATGGTACTAGAACCCTCTAGTTCCACAAACCTTCACCAAGAACCCATGCTCAATGCCCGGCACTGTGCATCTGGATTCAGTCTCAGACCCTCAAAAATCAACAAGAAGTGACTTACACTGTCTTGTTTATTCCCAACAAGAATCCAGGGAGGTAGGTACCATTAACCTTTTAGCATACGTTACAGATAATGAGAAATCAAGCGAGTGACCCAAACCATCAACTCCAATAGGAACAGCAGGATATGAAGTTCTTCTTGGGAGTCCCAGCACTCCAGTGGGCTTTCAAAGCCGGCCACCATTCAGCCATGAGGCCATTCAGGCCTGTTCCTGTCCACAAAGGCCCTGCTCCATCAGACCTGGCCTCAGGCCTTCCTTACTTATTCCCTCTCCCAGGTCTTTGCTTATGAAATGGCTTCTCCTCTTTTCCTTCATGGAGAGTTCTTCTCCATGAAACCCTTTCTAACCACTCCAGCAGTGACAAATTTCTCTCCCCCTCGAATTCCAATCTGCCTCACTGTCTTTGCCTCTGGTTCTGGCAGCAGGGAGAAGCCAACCAAGATGGGCAAGGAGGAAGAACGCAGGCCAAGCTGAAGGTAGCAGTACTCTCTCTGGAAAGGGCCCAGTTTATCTACCCTACTGCCTGGAAGACAAGAGGCTGAAGCCAAACTGCCCTCCAGGGCATGGAACTTTCTGTGCAGTTCAGGGCCAAGGCAGCTTGGGGTGATAGATGGGGGACAGGGTCCAGGTCAGAACCACGGAGTGGGGAAGGCACATGAGTCCACCCTTCCCATTCCTCCCACTCCCCCTACTTCCCCCACCCCTGCATGCCCTCCTCTCTCCACCTAGAGCCTGAGGATGAAGACAGCTCTGGAGAAGTAAAAATCTGCATTCTACCCACCTCCCAGCTCAGCCCCAATCCTGACCCCTAACCCACTCACCTCCCAGAGCCCCACTCCCTGAGCCCCAGGCCACTGGGCAAGGAGACAAGCCCACCAAGAAATCCTCAGCGGTCTCTGCCCTATGCTAAGGGGTGAGCCCTCAGCCTCCAGCAACTATCCACCACCCCCATCCCTCTCTTGTGGGGTCCTGTTCTGGCAGGGACAGCCTTTCCACCCCCCGGCCTGTCTCTTCCTGTCCAGGATGCCATCAGGCTCACGTGGGAACCCAGGGCTGGTCAGGATGGCCTCACTGCCTCCCCTCTGACAGGTGCTAATCTCTGGGGGAAGGGGAAGGGAGCCCTTGGAAGTACAGAGCCCAGATAGCAGAACTGAGGTGGGACCCCAGATCCCTAGCTTCAAAGACCTCATGATCCACCTCTTGACTACAACCTCCCACAAAAGGGCAGAAAAGGAAAGAGATGGATGTGTTAGACTAAGCGCCGGCTCCAGGCCTGCTCCAGCCCCCAAAGAGCCCCGCCTTCTCCTCCTCCTCTGGGTAAGGCCTCCAAACAGGCCTCCACTCCGGGCAAAGAGTGAGCCAGGGCGTCTCAAGCTCAAGCAGGCATCAGAACGACTGGAAGACTCTTGACACACAGGTGTGTCTGGCCCTGTTCCAGAGGTTTGGAGTCAGTTAAACCTAAGGTGGGACCCAAGCATGAGCATTTCTAACAGGTTTCCGGGCAACGCAGGCCCCCAGTGACTCTGAGAACCACTGGCCTGAACTGACAGACCTTGGTAACAGACAGCCCAGGTCCACACGCTGCCTCTCAGCTACTAACTTACTGTGCAACCTTGAGCATGTCACTCTGTCCTTGCTGGTCCTCAACAGGACTGCACAGGGCTGTCTGATGAGGATCAAATGAAATAAAGCACATGAAGCACGTAGGACAGACCTGGCACACAGGAAGCTCTGGGTGCATGCTAGTGGCCATTATGATTTACTGTCTCCACCCCTGGGGCGGCATTCGCATGTCCTCAAGACCCAAACCCCCCTGGCCCACCCTGCCCCACTCCTCATGGATCTGGCATGGTGCAGACGAGGGAGCTGGAGTCAATATTAGAAACCACAGGCCTCAGCAGTGCAAGAGAAAACTTTCTATTCCTGCCAGCAATCATCTGAGCACCATCCCCTTTGCCCCTGCCCTCCCCTGAGCCAGCTGGAGGCAGGCCATGGGCCATGCTTGCCAGCAACCAGATGCCTTCAGCTTACTGGTTGAGATGTCTTCTGAGGAGCTAAAAATTTCCAAAAACCCCTCCTGACCTAAACACCCGAGTTATCCTGCAGAGTTTGCAAACACAGCCCAGCACGCATGCTGCCCTCTCCACCTCCGCCCTCTACCCCAATTCTTCTGGGATTAAAGTCCTATTTCTCTATTTCCCAACCTCTGCCAGCCTATTTGGAAAGAAAAAGAATTGGTAACATGAAGAATTTGGAATTGGTAACATGAAGACAGGATCCCCAAGGTGGCCCCTGCCCATGCCCTACAGGAAGGCTGGGGCCACAGAGAAGCCCCTGGGTCACCTGGATCTGTGGCCACCCAAGTATCAGTCCTAGAACTCAGATGGCTGGCAGAGATGCCCTAAGCCCTGACTGTCACCCTACTTTCAGCCATACCCCCCCCCCAGACAGACACACATATACAGACACACACATTTTTACTCTATCCCTGGCTTATTTTTCTCCTTAGAACTCATCATGTTCCAACAACTCTATATTTTACTTATCTCATTGACAGCCAGTCTCTCCCAATAAAATGTAAGTTCCTTCTCCCTCACTGGAGCCTAGAACAGTGGCTGGCACAGTACAGGCCCTCTGTAAATACCTGTTAAGTAAATAAACCAAGAGAACTCTCTCACTATCTCTCCCGACACCCCCACCATGCTCAACATTTAAAATGCAGCCAGCACCTCTGGGACCCTCTAGAACTGAAGAAAGCTCTCAACTATCATCTTTGCTTAGTTTTTGGTCAGGACCTTTCTATACTTACATACACACATTCACACAAACTCAACACTCAGAACATCAGCTCTGAGGAACTTGAGACATCGTATCCTCCATCTCCCCATTTCATAGACGTGGAAACTGGGTTGTAGGAGGTCTGACATGACTGGCTTCTCATGGCAATGTTCATGGCAGGGCAAGGCTGCCTACCAGGTTTGTAAAGCTCACTGCCAAGCTCACCTCGCTGCTGTGTCCTTGGGCCCCAGCCAGCCTGCAGGTGGATTAAGCTGGTGCCTCCCTGTGGGCTCTCCTCTGCCTTCCCCATCAGGCAGCTGCAGAAGGATGAAGCAGGACGAGCCCAGAAAGGGACAGCCCCTCTCTCTGGCCTCACCCACTGCCCAATCCCAGGACAAAGCCTAGAGCTCAACATCCCCAGGTTTTCCAAATTGAGGGTGGCCACTTTGTAATTCTTCCAGAATCCCCCTTACCTCTAGGCAGGACCACTCAGACTCCAGCTGGGGAGCAGGTGGCAGCAGGGTTTGGACCAAGAGCTATCTAAAAACCAAGCCCTGCTTTTCATGGACTTCTCTGCCCCAACGTCCCAAGCTAGGGAGTCTGGAACAGGGTCAGGACCAGGCCAGGGAACTTTTAGCACAGGATATAAGGAGGCATCACTCTCAGGCCTTCCAAGTGTACCTAACAATCGTGAAAGTGATGCCTTCTCAGATATTGCTTCCTGGGTGCCTCACCCTCCACTGTAGTGCCAGCACCACCCTGGAGATGCCGCTGCATAAAATTAATGTTAGAACAACTATTCAGTTAGTGCTAACAGTGCCCTGGACAAAGAACTACATACTAGGCTCTTTGCTGTCCTGATCATCAATCCTCATAACCACCCCAGGAGGGGAGCATTATCCCATTTTCCAGTTAAAGAAACTGAGGACCCAAGAAACTAAATGACTTGCCCAAGGTTACACAGCCAGTCAGCAGGAGAGCTGCTATTTGAGCCTTGGTCATCTCATCCCCCCATGCTATCACTTCTCTCCCTGGCAATGACCTTTTGTCAGGTCCTCTCACTCTTAACTAACTTCCCTCCTGACAGGAGCAAGCATTCTGACAAGCAAAGACTAATTGTAGCAGAAGACTAATTGAAGTCCCTGTGCCCCAAGTCTTCACTGCACTTCCATGAGAAGAGCAGGAACTAGGCTGTAGCAGGAAAGACTAAGATCAGACAACAGAGAGAACTTCCTGAGTTTGAGGGGTTGTGGGCCACAGAGTGGATAAGGGAAGCTACACATCCTTTCCTCAACTTTTTTATTTTCCAAAAAAAAGACAAGCATGCTCTCTCTATATAAGCCTATGCCTTCCTTCATTGTGTGGGCCCAAAGAGGGGCCAGGACGGGAGGGGTGGCTGGGATGACTGCCTGGAGGCTCATGTAGTAGGACACGTTGGTGGCCTGCAAGGAGGGTGGGCTGGGAAAAATGTATCTGTGGGCTGCTGTTTTGGAGGAAGAAGACAGCAGGGTGGGGGAAAGTGCCCAAGCCTGAGCTCAGGGCGGGGGGTTGGAGGGGCAGAATTCAGCCTCAGCCTCCAGAGGAACATTCCGTCCAGAAATTCCTCACACTCTGCCCCCTTCCACCCAGATCTCCCCATTCTGGTCCCCTGGGAGGCCTGGAATCCAGGCAGTTTTTTAGGGGCCAAAAAGACCCCATGACATCACATCTATTGCCATGGCAATGATCTGTGAAGTCACCACAGCACTGCCCATCAGGAAGGGAGCTGGGAGCCTGGACCAGCCTCAGTCCCAGGATCTAGAGAAAGTTATTACAGGCTGACTTGTTCCAAAAATAGAGCCATAAGCAAATGCAGGGAGGGGGCTAAAAGCAGAAAGGAAGGGCAGGGAAAAAGCATTTATGGGGCACTTAGAGGGAGTGTGGCCGGCTCAACAGCACATGATAGCC